GAAGGCTGATAAGAATTTATAAATTTTTTAAAAGAGGCCCTTGCATTCAAAACTTCCTAGGAGGTCTTATTGCTTGTTTCTTTACCTGGTGGAGTGTGGCTCAATATATTGCTTGGATACTCTGAAACCAAAAGGGATTCCATTTCTCCAGCTCTTCCATCAGCAATTGGCTTGACTTTGATTCATTTTCTACAAACAAGCTTTTGACTATGAAGATACTTCCCTGTTCCCTTGTCCCAGACTGGCTAAGCTTGTCCCCATCATAAAATAGAATGATTCAAATCTGGTTAACAAGATTTCCTTTTGTTTATACATGTAACAAATGGGGCTTCAGCTTCAAAAACTTCTTAACTTCTTCAGGGGTGGAGATAGGCTAGTCTGGGGAGGGGCAAGATTCCTGGGCCATGGGAACAAGGAAGGATCTCAAAGACTGGTTTACAGATGATGAACCCAAGTCACATTAGTGAAATTTGGAGATAATGGATGGGGAGTTGTAGTCCAACACATATGGAGGGCATAAGGTTGGAGAAGGCTGCTTAAAATTCTATCATATATCTTGCTTGTGCAAACAGGAGTGATTGGAAAAGAGCAGAGGCAAAAAAAGTTGCAGCACAGTGGCATCATGCCCTGTGTTTTGTAGTCATAAACTGAAACAGCAAGGAGGAGACATGGACTTCTTGTTTGCTGTTGACAGCAGGGACACATTATGACATTATGATTATTTCTAAGCTTAAACTTTATAGTCTTTAGACCTGAATTTGAAAACCTTTAGACTTGTGTGGCATGGATTTTTCCAACACAGCTTCCTGGGTTTCTCTTTGTAAGCTTAATGCCGAGCTGTCACTTACATGAATGTTTTTGTTATTATTTTTATAATCTCTCTTTCCTCCAGTGAGCCTAAGGCAGAATAATTACCTCCTTTTCTATTCAGAACAGCCCTGGTAGGTAAGTCATTCAGAGGAAATCTGCCTGGCTCAAGGTCAGCCAGTGAGTTTCTCCCAAGTCCCAGCTCACTATTAACCACTACATTACATTCCTTCTCTTGTTTTAGCTGATTTTTACTGTGTGTGTTTTATTTTAATGTTTTAGCTACTTGGAATGCCTTTAGCAGCAGACAGTTTATAAATATTTTAAAAAGTAAATATAGGCATAGTAAATATTAATAGATAAATAATGATTAATAAAAGTGTGTATTCTGTAATTGCTACCTTTTAGCTGTAATGTACTCTTTTATCCAATACCATGCAGGCTGCCTGCAGTCACATTACTGCCATATATATGTGCTAGAGGAATGTGAGTCATGCTCTCCAGAAGACTTAGGTTTAGTCTTTATCTCAATAAACACACTCTGCCCTGCGGGAAATCTTCTTTCAAATGAGCCAGAAGCTTTATGCAACTTGTCAGAAGATATACACCTTGAACAAACCAATTTGGAAAGTGACCAATTTGTATATAATGAAGTGATGTAAAGAATATATGAGAGGTAAATTATTATGAACTTTAATATAAAAGTAATACAAATTTCAATTTGTAATAATGTCTTATGTTTTCCCAAATACATTGGATGTTGAGAATATATGTTCTGAGTATGCTATAATGGATTGGAATGAAAAAGCTCTTAAAATGACAGCTTGGTGCCAATGGTACAGTTCTTTAAATACATTGAAAAGGGCAAACTCAATGAAGTGAATAAATAAGTCTTCCAGACTTTTGTAGCAAAACCAAATTTAGTAGTCTGTTGTAGATAAAGCAGTCTGTTGTAGTGAAAACAGATTTTTCCAAGAGTACACTGGCAGATTAAAAAGATCCTGCTTGTGTAATTTTAATATATCAGTATGTTAGTACATTATTTTAGTATTTTAGCATTTTATAGTGTTGTGTTTTATCATTTGTTTTTTATTATATATGCCTATGTTCCACCCTTGGGTGAAAATGGCATTATTATTATGGCAGAGGTACATGGTGATACAACACACAACTGTGTTAGAGAATTGTGACAATGTACAATGGAGCACCATGCAAGATGTCCTATAGCACAACAAGGTCTCTCAACACATAATGGGGAACTGTGTAAGATGTCTCATTGTACAGTGGAGGTTCACACCACACAATGGGATACTGCCAAAGATGGGGAGATTTTTCCAGCCAAATGCATTGCACTCATGACTTTCCACTGCCTTCTGTTCTGGATTACAAGGGCCCTGTGCCTCTGTTGGCGACTGTTGCACCTCTCTCCTTGCACTGTCATTATGTAAAGACAGCTTGTCCTGCAAAGTGCCTTGACATTATGCATCAAGACCATTGTACAATAGCCATACTGTACAGTGGTCCCAATGACACAGCTATGACAACACTGCTCTCCTGGGAATAGGATCATTACACAATACCACAGTTCTAAACAATGTAATCATAAGCTGGCTTGTTGATGTGTATGTACCTTCAAGTTGCCTGTTAACTTATGGAGACCCCATGAATTTCATAGGATTTTCTTAAGCAAGGCATACTCAGAGATGGTATTGCCAGTTTCTTCCTCTGAAATATAGCCTACAGCACCTGGTATTTGTTGCCAGCCTCCCATCCAAGTACTAACCAGGACTGACCCCAATTAGATCTGGTGCTTTTCAGGGTTGATGTCATAAATTCCAACAGGATGTCACACACTGATTCCAAATTGTACTCCAAAAAATTAAACTTTCCAAGCTCTTCATTGATTGGAACAAAAAGTTTTGAGAATTAGAACCCACCATCTCTGTTTTGAAGGATGAGGTAGCAACAGCTACGAAAGACTTCTATCCTTCACCTTCCTCAGTCCATGACTATTGCTCTTGCTGACTAAAGTTATGGGATTTGAAGTCCAAAACATGTGGAGGGCACCACATTGCCTGCCCTGGAAACAGCGATGAATTTCATAGACAAATGATCTGATCTTGTATAAGGCAGCTTCCGGTGCTGCTGGTTGTACTCTTCCCTTCCTTCAAGCTCCTTGCTATCACTCTCTAGACTAAGTATCACCTCAAAATGCCACTGTTTATTGGTAGAGGTCTTTCACACATTCAGTCTTCTGGACCTCAGATGTAGAAATGTCCAATGATGTGCATGAATTTGTGAATCAGGGCCCAGAATAAAATATGGGACTACGGTAATTAAATTGGAGACACTGTTTTATCTGGCTAAAGAAAATTCCACTATCATGTCTCTATTAAAGACATACAGAATCTGGAAACCCTTTGTTTTGAACTACATGGAGTTAAATATCTTTTAAATTCATGGAACTAATCTTCTTACTCTGGGTGGGATTGTGCCCAATATCTTAAGGAATTAAAATCAAAGTGATATGAACTAGGTTTAAACAATAAGAAGAAAACATCACATTGAAACTAATGGCTAATCTAGTGCATGCAGAGTGTTATATACCAATTATCACTAGTAATAATCTTCTTTGGCTTGGATAGTTTACGCATTGTATTGAAAAGAATTTCTTCTGCCTTTGATACCTTCAACTCCTGCCCTCACATATAAAGGAATGATGTGCCCCTGTGAGACAGTGTTTTTACAATAAATAGCCTACAGACTTTGTCTGTGGTGTTTAATCTTTTTTAATGTTATCCTTCTGCCTATTGCTAAATGTTTTCAACCTTTTCTTTCCTAGTCCTGAAGTTTGCTCTTTTAAAGTTCACTGCCACTGAGAGACTCTCCAGAGATTCATTCATTGTTATTACATTAAATCTAATTGTGCATGGAACATTGTTGGCCTCATATTACCTTTTGGCTATACGTTCTCCATTAAGAACAGAGTGGTTGAAATGACACAGTACGGAGCTTCAGCAAATGTAATTGTTACATATTAGAGCAGGAGTGGACAACTGCATGGGGGTAATGGGCCAGTTTTCCCCCTGACTCCCCACACCCATTCACAGCCCCTACATGCTCAAAGCAATCACAAATAGCTCTGTTTTTCTCTACAGTCCCTCTCAAAATGGTGGCGGGAAGTGGTGTTGCATCACTACCAATCACCATTTGAGAGGGTCTGCAGAGAACAACAGATGTATTTGGGGGTGGTGCGCAGCTCTGGAGTGCTTTGGGGATGGATTGGAAGAATTTTTCACATGTTTTCATATATTCAGGGGGCTTTCTTTATGATTTTAGGATGAAAAATGCCCCCAAATAACCCTGTTTTTTAAAAAACATAATTGAAGATTAAGGGGACCTTGGGGGGGATGGTGGGAGGCTTTAGGGACCACAAAAGTAAGGTCAATATGGTCACAGTTTGTCCAACCCTGTACTAGAGGAGCTGCTGTGACTGCAACAGAAGACCCACACAATCATCAATACTTACAGAGCTTGGTAACAGACTTCAGCATCATCAAACAGAAACCAAAATTCTGTTCAAAATTGTTATTCATATCTGAGTTAAATCCACTGAACAGATGGAATTTCATAAGTGTTGGGTTATCAAGTTTCCATTGATTGAATTAGTCTATTCAAGTTGATATTAACAATTTGATTTACATCAGAATTGCAATCACATATGCTGCTGTCCTATCCATGTGCACAGACACTATACCCCTCTGTCTGAAATAGTGTACACTGCATCCTTTCAAAAGCAGGATCTATGCCCTCAAATTTCATCACATTCTGCCAAAAAATAAACGTTATCAAATGTTCATATATATATTTTAAAGGTTATTTGTATATATATAATATGTGACAGGCATATTAAACTAAGAATTTTTTCATGCCCTCCAAGTTCACCCTGTGCTATCAAAATGCAAAAATATTGCAGGTGTTTCTTGATTGCCAAATAACAATAGTAAATGGGGAGTCATGAAACATGGATTTCCCAATGCATGGTTTTGATTCAGACTCAAGTTGATTCTAAATGGTTGGAATGTCATACTGAGTTGTTCTCTGAATTGCCAAAATGGGATCTGAATCTGATCTTATGGTCACTATACACCCCTAGTACAAAATAACTGCTATGATGAGTTAAGCCTTGACCATCCAGCATGGCTTAGTGTCTTGCGTGTTGGACTACAACTCTAGAGACCAGGGTTCAATTCCCTGATCAGCCATGAAATCTACTGGGTGACCTTGGGCATGTCACATGCTCTCAACCTCAGGGGAAGGCAATGTCAAACATCCTTTCAACAAATCATGCCAAGAAATTCTCATTATAGGGTTGCCTTAGGGTTGCCATAAGTTGGCAATGACTTGAAAGCATACAGCAACAAACAACATCCAATCTAGAATGTTTTAAGTTCCGAGAACATAAGGAGGAAGAGGTAAAGCAGTTGCATGCCAAGTCTGCACATTGTGCTGAATATTTAACAACAGTTCACACATTCAGTGGTGAGTCATTAAGTGCTAGGTCACTGAAATGAAGAAATCAAGCAAAGGATATGTTCAAGCATATTAGTGGTGGGAAATGACTTCATACAAACATGTTAACACATTTGCAGGCTGGGTGGCACAGAAGCTCCATTCACACCTACAAAGTATAGAACCTTACAGCACATTAAAGAGCTCTGCATTTCAAATGCAAAACAGTCACTGAGTTCAGGATTTTAAAATAGGAATCAGCTTCCATGGGAACAGGAAGAAACTCATTCCTACAACTTGTGCATGCCTACACAAGAAAGCCTGTAACACTTGATAAAACTCCCAGGTTAAGATGTTTAGGATATGTCTAACCTTAATGAAATGACACCTAGATAATTTTGATCAGTCCCATTCAATGGGATCCACCTTGAATATAAATGATTAGCAAAAGGAAAGATTTTATCTACACTACCTGCCACTTCAGAACAAATTGTACAGGATGTTCCATTGCCGTAACCAACTGCAGCCTGCATGTTTCAGTAACTTCTCCATTAGGCAATTATTTCTCCACTTTATAAGTGTCTCTGAATCCACAAAAGCATTCTCATTTCTGAAATGGATCCCTCTATAGAAGTATAAAAGAACATGATGCCAGCACTAGAAATTTGCACATAAAAGGTAAGACACATCTCAGTTTTCATTTCAGAAGGGAAATTGACTGGTCATTGCACAAGGACACATGTGCTGTTGCTAAGAATGCCTTTATGATCAAGTAGATACATCACGGCAATTTGTTAAAAAGTGGAGCAGTAGCAGTAACAAAAATATTAACCCTCACATCCAACATGGCACCATTTTTAAATTTACCAAACAGTAACTTAATAAACAATATATGGAACAATGAGAAATACATCCCACAAAGACAAACATTAATAATAATAATAATAATAATAATAATAATAATAATAATAATAATTTGTATACCGCCCTGTGGCGAACCAATCTGGGTGGTTGACAACAGTAAAATATAGCAAGAGTAAAATATAACATTAAAACATTATAATCCCTCCCTCCCCCCTTAAGAAAGTAAAACATAAAAACAAATTACAAAACATATCAACAACACGGCACTATTTTTGGCCATTTTTGGCTGCATCTGCACTGCAGAAATAATCCAGTTTGACACAACTTTAACTGCCATGGATCAATGCTATGGAATTCTGGGGGTTATAGTTTGTTGTACCACAAGAGCTCCCTGACAAAGAAGGGTAAATGTCTCACAGAACTACAAATCCCAGAATTCCATAATATTGAGCTATGGCAGCTTAAGTAGCAACAAACTAGATTATTTCTGCAGTGCAGATACAGCTGTTTCAATGTACAAATGGCTTCATCATTTTTATTGTGCTCTTTCTTTCATCTGCCTTGCAAGTTACAGAAGACACAATCCTATGCTCAGGGACCTTATGATTTTCTGTACCTCCTTCTCTATTAGTAGAGAGGAAGATCCATCCCTGAAGCAGGAAATTTGCCCTTGGAAGCCTCTTCACAGTCACGCTGGAGAGGCCCACTGGGATTGCTCATCTACCATCCATGCTCCAAGGCCACAGAGTACAAGAATTACTGATTATATATTATCAGAAAAACCAGACAGAGAGCAACACATGATGCCCCATATATGTGTGGATTCAAAGATCTGTGAATTCCAGAGCCTTAATAGAGGCTGGCTGGGTTGTTGTTGTTGTTGTTGTTGTTGTTGTTGTTGTTGTTGTTTGGGGGGGCATTTCTAAAATCAGTGATCTAATTAGCAATCAGAAAATTACTTAGCAACTGGATCCACCTTTTTAACAACCATATATCTGAATAATTAAAAAAATGGGCCAGTTCCAACTTGGCAATGCATTGCAAAAAGGGATTAAGTTCTTGATATGTATTCATAGACCAACACCCCCTCCAAAAACCCACCAAAAACCCAGACTATATCTTTAATCAGGTTGCCCCATAGGAGAGCAACTTATCAGACTCTTCTGGAGGCAGTGTTGAGCTACATCAGAGTTATAGGGATATGTCGCAGGAATTAATTTAAAAAGGCTAAACTAATCTAAACTGAATAGAAGTGCCTCTGAATGCACTTCAAATTTGATTCCAAATAGGTTCCTTCTTTTGGTCTTTGTTTGCAATGAGCAATATAGGCTATTGACTTGTTTTCAGAGGAAGATAAATTCTAAAACCTCATTTTGAAGTACCATTGAGTGAACTGACATTTCAGATGAGTCCAAAAGTCATGTAACATGCAACTGGAAGAATAAATGCTGTCAGCCATAGGTGACTGCCATGAAGAAGATGTAAGCTGAAATTTACTGGAAATAAAACTGAATTCCTCATCTGACTCATGCTTATGAGTCATTGCTTTACTGGAGGGGCTTAAAGGTAGATTGAGGTTTTAAAAGGACCTCCAACTGCAACTTTAAAAAAGAGAAGGACAATAACCTAAAATAGTTGGGGTGGAATATATTCTGGTATAAAATAGGATCAACCCTCTGAAACACTGAATACGTTAACATTACTGCAGGTACATCAATATATGAATTACAGTGGAAACATTGCAATGAGTGTACAATTTATCTGTGCCATTTACACATTGTGAAATGAAGGCTGTTCATAAATTGGGATCCACCTAAATGAAGCACATTTCAGTCCTATCAGCACCTGATTCCCCAGTTTAACCTAGAGGACTTCAAAATTCAATTCAAAAAGGATGTGGAGAAACTGGAGTGTGTCCAAAGGAGGGCAACTAAAATGGTGAAGGGTCTGGAAACCAAGCCCTATGAGGAACGACTTAGGGAGCTGGGGATGTTTAGCCTGGAGAAGAGAAGGCTGAGAGGTGATATGATAGCCATGTTTAAATATTTGAAGGGATGTCATATTGAGGAGGGAACAAGCTTGTTTTCTGCTGCTCCAGAGACTAGGACACAAAACAATGGATGTAAGCTCCAGGAAAAGAGATTTCACCTCAACATTAGGGGGAACTTCCTGACAGTAAAGGCTGTGCAACAGTGGAACACACTCCCTCGGAGAGTAGTGGAGTCTCCTTCCTTGGAGGTCTTTAAGCAGAGGCTGGATGGCCATCTGTCGGGGATGCTTTGATTGGAAGTTCCTGCATGGTAGGGGGTTGATTCTATGACTTAAAAGGTGCTTTGCTGTGGCTGAAACCAGCCACTGATCTTTAAAGGTTGCACTGACCATTGCGTTGGCTGGAGATCTAATACTAGAAGTATTAACCAAAAGTCATGGTGACACCATTCCTAGGCTTAAAATAGTATTGTTGCTTTTATCTAGCACCCCCTTGCATGCTGCATGCCTCTCTCTCAGTTCTATATTGAATAAATCTGGACTACAAGCTTCTTGAGGCCAGAGCTGCATTTCATTGCTATTGCTCCACATATAATGGCTATTATCCAATCAGGGATTATGATGCTTCTGCTATTTTAACTAGTCCTGACAGTAGTACCAGAGTGTAGTACCTCAACACTCTCATATAGCTCCCTCCAGTACTGTTGCAGAGGGCTGGAAAACCCACCAAAGCCATCTTTGGCCTGGCACTGACAATTACTGGGAAGGAGAAGGAAGAAGGTTCTATTGTGCCATGCCCTGGCGCACACACAGGATGGGGGAGTCGTTTTACAATTTCTCTAAACTCTGGCTCAAAATACAGCATAGCATGACATAAACATTTCCTGATACTACTCAAAATATTCTAAATCCTAGAAATTAAAATTACTGTATAGCTATTGAAGAGGAGGGGATTGATCCACAAGATAAGTAGAAGAACCATATTCAGATGCAATAATGAAATATGTTTTGCCCAACACAATAGATACTCTAATAACTTAATCTGCTAACATTCCAAAAGAAAATCAACTATATTGAAACAAACAAACCATCTTTGTATGGATCATTTTGCACAGACTTCATAATTCATGGCAGGCATTCAAGTACACAGGTTGGTGAAGAATTACTAATCGCAGTGGCTTCTCACCACTTCCAGTTGTTGTTGTTGTTGTTATTGTTATTATTATTATTATTATTATTATTATTATTATTATTATTATTATTATTATTATTTGTCAGCTTTGGGGTACCTAGCATGCTCTGTGGAAATGCCAAGGGACCAGAAGCTGATCCCCACACCTACAAATAAACGAAAGCACTTCCAGCAGTCTGTGGCAGGAAGAGATAGAAAACAAGGCTGTTTTATTAGACTTGGTTTGCCAAAAGACCAGTTTCAACAGGGCTCCTTCCTTAAGTGACACCAAGTGACAGCCATCTTATGGAATGAGACAAGATCCTTTATCCCCAAATATTCCAATAAATTTCTTTATAAAAGAGAGGTATTAATGGAGATGGGAGAGCTCATGATGGCAAATCCCATTCAGTTTGGACACATTGGATTAAATGTTACAAGTATTTGAATTTCAGTGCATCAAAAAAAAGTACAAATATCTGGATTTCAAACCTGAGTTTCAAATGTGGATATGAGTTGAATCAGACAGTCTCCAAATCCAACTGGACTGGTTCTTGAATAATTAGATTAGGGTCTAACCCAAATCATGTTGGCAATGAACACTTCTGGTAAAAGCTGAAAATGGGAACTCCAGGCTGTAACTTTTGGTTTCATGGCTCTTAGACTAATCTGTTCTTCAGTCAGAATTAGAAAGTATCTGCAAATGGAACATTATGGCTTTAAACCAAT